TTGGCGGAATTGAGAGTGGCATCTGCAGTGAATTCCGCCGCTGCAATTATCTTATTAAAGTCTTGGTGAGACCAAAGGTCAGATGTAGGCAAACTAATCTGGAGTTGGTGCAGCCACCATATAGATGCCCTTGTGAAAAAAGGATGCTGCAGATGAAGGATGAACAGCCCATGCAGTGCTGGAATGTCAACAGAAGGCACTGCCAGGGCATTTGCCAGGGCATTGTCCAGGGCTGCGCTGACATCATAGAAAAGCTTATCCAGGGAAGATGGGCCAGGACCTGCCGAAGGGGAAGTGCACTGTTCCTTGACCATGTCCAGGAGCAAAGTGGGAGAAGGCAAAACCCCTGCATGCACTACAGGCTTCGAGAAGAATGCGTCTCCCTGGCTAGAGGGATTTCCTTGTGGCTCAGGAGCCACTTTTTCTGGCGACAGCTTGGCAGTGACCAAGGCCTTGCTGAGTAATGGCCTGAAGAGAGAAGGATTGAAGACCAATACAGAGGATGTCTGCTCTGGGTGAGTCCTCTTCCTCTGAAAGATTTTGGTCAAAGGTCTCACCCTAAATCAGGGTGATGAGGCAGGGAACTTATAGATTGAGAAGAGAGAAGGGCCTGAACCCTTTCCAGAGGTCGAAGAATTTGCTTGAAGCCTTCAGCCAATCCCTGCCTAATGTCCAATGAGACAACATCTTGGATATTCCCTGGTCTATGCTCAAAGGTAGAGGTAGAAGGCTGAAGGCCTACTGCTGTGGGAGTGAAGGTGGCTTCAGGCCTAGACTGAGAAGAGGATCGAGGCCTGGAGGGAGGGGGAGGAGCATAGGGTCCAGAAGCCTGTTGGAAATAAGGCCCAGTTCTGCTTAGATCCTGAGGATCATATTATACTGCCAAAGCCTCAGGAGACCAGGATGGAGGATGGAAAGGCTCAAGATAACTTCTCCTCCCCTGGGAGGGCTTGGCTGAGGCCCACGGGAATCACCTGAAACCTGCTGTAATTGCACTCCCTTCTGTTGAATAGTTCTGTTGAACTGCCTCTCTAGGGCTGCATGTCTGCACTTTATTGCCCTCAACTCAGCCTGAGTTGCCTTCTTAGGGGCTAGAGCCTTAGCTCTGATTTTAGCAGCCACCTCCCTCTGGACCAATTGGGAGCGTTGCCTATGTCTTTTTCTCTTATTGGGCTTAAGAGACTGTTCCACTGGGGGGAAAGCTCTGCCTGACCCTTATCTTGCTCCATTGTAGAATAAAGGCTCTTGCGATGGAAAGAAACTGTTTGTAGATTTTTCTATTAAGCCCCTTAGGATATAAATGGCCCCTGGGCTTACAATATCGCCGCTCACCTCATGGTGGAAGGCTTCAATCCAAGATGGCCACTGACTATGGGAAACAGGCTCCGAGATAGAAGAATCGCTCCTTAGGCTATAAAGAGCCCCGAGCAAAGTCAGCAAAGGAAAGGGCAGCCTCTGGCCACACAATCAGCTGGCTGACGCTTTTACGACCACTCAAATCGCAGGCGTGGGGGAGGTCTACAGACGCTGCCCAACTTGCCTGAACAGCGCTCTGGCAACGCTGCTCCCAACGTTGCAGGAGAGAGAGCCCTGCTCTCCTGGAAGAGCAGCTGCCCTGGGAGCTGCTTGAAGCGAGGAAAAATGGTACTGAAGATCACTGGTGAGTGCTAACTATAACAGAACGCTTTCAGAGACACAGCTACTGACTGAAAGGAGCTGAGTCAAAAGCTGGGGTAACTTCCGGGGTCTGGCTTTTATATCTTAGTACAGACTCAGCTAAATGACATCATAGGAAGGAGTCAACCCATCCTGGGCTCTCGATGCAGCATGGAGAAGTGTTATCATCAATCAGGAAGGGCCTGGAATCTATTCTAAAGCTCAAAAAACAAGGAGTTATTCTAGGCAAGCTGGACCCTTTGCATACACTGACTGGCAAAGGAACAAGCTGCAAATGTTGGCCTGTCCCTTTTTTATTTTATCTCCATGCATCAGCTGAAAATAAGCTTCCACTCTCCATGTGAACTGGGACCATGTTTTATAGTGCACTAAGATATAGTTTATGTTCAATTGAGGACACCCACCTTCATACTTTCCAGTTGACCATATGCAAGTCGATGAGAGTAAGAAATAGGTCTGTTTATGTGGCTGTGTCCTCTATCCAGCTCTAAACTCTATTTGGTCAAATGGAAATATTCCACTAAGTGGGGAGGAGGTATTTACTACATATCTACCATTTATTTCTCTTCCCATTTTACAAGATGCCCAGATATTTTAAATATTGCACTGTGATATGCTATCGACCAATAAATGTCTCTGAACTCTGGATTTAAAAGAGCAAGCAGGCGAGAGAAGTTGATTTGTCCTGCAGGGAATCTTCAGAAATTTGGGTTGAAGAATTTGATGAGAAGCTAAAAAGACACATCTGTAAAGGGCAGCATTATTAAACAGTCACAGGCATGAGGAGTTGGTATATGTATAAGATCTGGTAAGTCCCCAGCCCCATTTCCCCCCAGCATTATCCCTAAATTAAAAAAGCCAGCCAGATTCACATAGCCATAGACTTTGATGCAGGGCTTAATAACGACAGATAATCTGCTGACATTTAAAGAAAGCAACATGCAGCTTCTTCAACATACACACTCCAAGAGTTTTCTGCAGTAATGCACTAATAGCATTCAGCTTAATCAGATTTTATCTTGAAATTTGTTCAGCTGAAAACAGTCAATTGCAAAATCAATAGCTCTGCGAAATTAAATATATCTCTTCTCTGTTGCCAAATTCTAAGAGATTGCCAAGTGGTGAGAATCTTCCCAAATTATAACAAAATTGGAAAGATGGACAGATGCTCTTTCCCAATCTGTACAGACAACAGTTGACTTAGTGACTTGACTTACAACAGTTCACTTAGTGACTGTTTGAAGTTACAACAGCACTGAAAAAAAGTGATTTATGACCATTTTTCACACTTATGACCATGGCGCATCCCCATGGTCACATAATTTATATTTGGATGCTTGACAACTGGTTCATATTTATAAAGTTACAGTGTCCCAGGGTCATGTGATCAACTTTTTCAACCTTCTGACAAGCAAAGACAATAGGGTAGCTGGATTCACTTATCAACTGTGTTATTAATTTAACAACCTCAGTGATTCACATAACAAACGTGGCAAGAAAACTCGCCTAACAAATTTCTTACTTAACAACATAACTATTGGGCTCAATTATGGTCGTACATCGAAGGCTACCTGCATTTATTTTTATTTGGTACTATGACAGTTGGGATTCTTATTGAGGGAGAGGTTAGCCTATTCTAGAAAACAGGCTTTATTTACGCTGTGAGTGCCTCTGTGTAAAACTCACAAGGGAGAAATAATTTTATTTAGTCTGTGAATTGAGCCAATCAAAAAGAAAGCTATAAAAGGTCTTTCAAATCCAAGTCATTCTAAATAAATGGATTACATGGGGAAGAAGATGCTTTTAATTTGTCTAAAACCTTTTCTCCTCAAGCTAAAAGTTGTATTATTTGGTGGGGGAGAAGGAGGAGGAGAGAAAGAGAGAGAGAGAAATTTCCTGTACTGCATAACAAACACTTGAAGGATAAAGATGCATTGAAATCTTCTCTGTTGGTTTAAATCAAGGAAAGAGAAAGTAAATGGTTGATCTGTATAATACACTAGTCATGACTTTCCTGCATGCTTCAGCAATATAATTAGGAATTTCCTCTGGACCATTTTAATAATCTCCTATTTAAAATGTTAAAATATCAAGTTGATATTAATTTTAAACACTAGCATTCTATATGCACACATTTCACAGGATAAGGTTCAAAACAGTGCTTTTAAAAAAAGTTTCAATATATTGCTTAGAAGAACAAACTGTAAAAATTGCCCTGTAGACTATTTCTCTTGCCACAGAAACCAAATCCACACAAAGCACTAGACTCTTATAGCCATAGGTTTACACATTCCATTTAATAGGGCTATAAATATTTGGATACATATACTCAGATTCTAACTAGGATTGAAATTCCCGACACTTTGAACAGCCAATTAAAGTAGAGAATTTCCAGTACTAACATAACCAATGTGAGATTCACTTCCCAGAAAAGGTCCCTGGCCAATTTTCTTTATTATGATATATGCTCAAGAGAAGAAGAAAAACTAGCCATTTTACCAAAATATTTGGGACTCAAATTATTAGCAGATTCAGTAGCTAAAAAGCACAGGTTTCATAACTGTATATAAATGGCTTTTCACTATGCCTTATGGCCAAATTTGAAAAATCAATATATCAGCTTGGCTGGATAGATTAGATCTTATCTTTTATTTAATGCAATTAAGAAAATTTTAACTCAGTTATATAAGACTGCAAAGTGCTACTTCTCTCATCAACTTCTGAATGAAAAATGCCTGACAAAATGAAGGGGAGAAGGTGGAGAAATCCCAGTTTTGCTTTTCTGACTTGATCGAGAATAACCATGTCTGACTTGATCATAAATAGCTGAAGCTTGCCTAGTATATTGCATAGGATTTTCTCATTTTAGGAGAAAAGTTTACGATTTCCTAAAGCCTTTATAGTCCAGGCTTTTTTCCCCTGTAACGAATCATTTTGATTATGAACTAATACTGATAATCACTAAACAAAATTGGCTATTTGAATTGTAATGGTTATTCAGTGACAATGTATGGTATTTCTATCCAAACTGAAGTGGCTCAGATAAACCATCATCACTTTTTTCATTATCTTTTTCATTCCAAAGCAGCTTGAAAAAATATTTTGCAATTTTGTCTAGAGACGTTGACACTTTGACTGCAAATTGCCAATCCTTGGGCTTACTGGTCCCCTGGTTTGTGAAGAGCTCAAAATGAAAATCCCATCTACAAGATTTCCAGGCTGAGCTCCTTAGACAACAGATGGAATCCAAACATGGACGTGAAAAGAAGGGATAAGCCATATAAAAATAAACTGATAGGAAGAATAAAAGAAAACAAACTCACGTAGTTCTTCCTGGTGTCTCTCAGTCTGCTCAAAATAATGACGGAGCTCTTCTGTGATTTCCATGTTGTCGAGGTCACATTCTATGTCCTCTTCACCTTCAGATTCTGAATCTGTTTCACAATCTTTCTCTTCTGCTCTCCTTTTTCTGACATAATGCAGGTCATCCGGAGGCCTTGGAGGATACCGTGGTTTGCTGTCTGAGGTGGAGAAAGAAGATGGACCAGTTCTCCCTGGAACATTTTCATCCCAGTCAGAATAACGTTGATGTTGCTTGGAAGGATGAAGTGATGGATTATACAGTGATTCCATGGCCTTCCTATAAGCATTTTTATGTCTATACATCCACTCCATAGCTTCACTGTAATGTTTCCAATATCTTGCATACATTTTTTGAAAATACCATGGTCCTATATCTTGACATAAAAAATTTGCCTAAAAAGGAAAACAAAATTCAGCATTGTAAGACCTCATTCCTATATAATGTCTTGTAAGCGTCCTATGTGTCAAGAAAACAAATACTAGTTCTCGCATGACTTTGCATATTACTTTATTATACAATATGTAAAACAATGGGAAATACACAGACAAAATGTCTTCTCCTCTCCCACCCTACCCCAAAACTATTAATCAGTGTAATTTTTAAATATATCATTAAACAGATAACCACCAGAAATGGGGTGTATCTAGAGACATTCCAACAATTATAATCATACATGCATTCTTGTTGCTCCTACATATATTTATGGCTGTAATTGTTTTTATCTCACTATTAGGGCTGTCAAAAATAGAGATTCTGCCAGTTCACCAGATATCTAAAATTTCTTCAGTTCAGTGAGGAGGGAGGGAAGGAGGGAGGCTAGAAAGAAAATAAAGATGAAAAAAGAATAGAATGTGATCAAAATAGAATGATTCCATTAGAGCAGGGAAGTCAAACTCAGGGCCCGCGGGGTGCTTAGATCTGGTCTGCTGAACCACACTGGAAAAAGGACTGGCGTGCGGTGCCTCGGCTCGGCCCAGGCCAACCAGGTGCTGATCTACAAACTGGTGATGGCTGGCAGAGTGCTTTAGGAGGCTGTGGCAACGGAAGATGGAGCTCGGGAGGCTGCACGCACCCCTCCTGAGCTCTGTTTTCACTGGCAGAGTACTGGAGGAGGCCGTGGCAGCCAAAAATGGACCTCAGGAGGGCCATGAGCATCCCTCCCAAGCTCCATTTTCACTGGCAGAGTGCTAGCAAAACAAACTACTAGCAAAAGTGGCATTTGATCACAAGGCAAGGACGCATCGACAAATGTTTCCCCTTTTGCATTTGAACATCCAAAAAGGGACATGGAAGGAAAAAGGGAAAGCCAAAGTAAAAGAAGGGAAGATGGGAAGAGAGCAAGGAAGGATAAAGTGGGAAAGAGGGAACGGAAGAAGAAAGGAAAATGAAGAGGGAAGGAAAAAGAAGAGAAAAGGAAGGTGATTATGAGAGGAAGGGAAGTCCTGCCTTAGTACTTGGTCACCAGCAGCCCTGCTGCCCTTTCACCATCCCCTTATCTCCTCCTCCTGACCTCTCCTGGTGGTCTCCCATCCTATAGCTGAAGATGCTTTGGTTACAAAGCCAGGTCTCCTTGCATGGAGAGAAAGTGGGCCTCCCTCTGACCCACACACTTTACCTTCCTGCACACACCATGATCAATCTGGCTAAGGGGAGTGAGCAGAGCAGCAGCAGCCTCGAGGTAAGTGCAGCTGGGCACCCTTTGGGGGAAGCGGGGCTGGGCTGGGCACTTGCCATCCACTGCCTAGGGCTCTGGACAACCTGCACCGCCATCCCGGGGTCCGCCAAATGGCATGAGAGGGATAGTGAGACTCCTCCGGAGGACAAGGGTTTGGCCATCTCCTTGGTCTCGCCTTCCTCTGCTGGAGACAATGGATCCCTCCAGCTCCGCCTGGGCCAACACAGGCACCCCAACACCAATGACGTCAAGCTGGCCACACACACCCTGGCCAGGCCCCCCTGAGGTCAAACACAACTCTCATGCGCCCACAATTAAATCGAGTTTGACACACCTGCATTAGAGGTGTATTACATTAATGCCATAATTATATTAATCTGTTTAAAAGATAAGGAATTTATGAGCCCAGATTCTGTATGTTGACCAGAAGGGAAAGGAAAAGTCAGAAGTCTTCCAATACAATTCCTTGTCAATTAAAACAAGGAATGTTAATCTAACAAATCTTTGGAATTCTATTCAAAGCTATGTAATCAAGCCTCATATTCCTCTCCCTTAATATATAGCATGTGGATCATGCATCCATTGCCTGAAAAACATGCTTAGCAGTTGTGAAGCATTTTGTGGGTTATGGCAACTGGAACTTCTTCATCAAAGATTACTAGCTTTTGCATCTCTCCTCTCCATTTCTGTCAACTACTTTGCATAGGAGGTTGAATGAATTGCCTGCAGATAGTCAAGAAAGAATTGCCCAGTTTTTTGTTTATTCATTTGTTTTGGGTACTCTTTTACAGTAAATCTTTGGTTGACTTCAATTTAATAGTCTTAAACATGCTGAACACATTATTTGTTTAAATTATTCATTAAATTAAGTGTTTACTGCCATATATTATTTGCATGAATTATGCAATAACCCATAGAATGATGATTGGTGTAAACTATTTAATTAGGATTTAATAGGCATTAAGGTTAATGGACACCCCTCTATCTAAATGTGCCATTAAATTAAGGTTTTACTGTAGTTAGATCTTCTTTAGAAAAGAAATTTAGAAACAGAAATTTAGGATTATTCTATCTAAAATGTACGGTATCTAGCATTTAAGTTATGTACAGAATCTTCTTGAATACAAGTAGGCCACAAAAGTGTTCAGCAGTCTAATATTAAATTCATATTTGTTAGAGGTGAAAATCAAAACTAAAAAGGTGAATAATAAACTAAACATAGTCTGTTGCAAAGAAAATGCATTTGTTATGACAAATAATAATGGAGTTTATAGGATTAGAGATTTGATTATTTCATGGAAAAGCCTAGATCTGTCCAGTAAAACACAGGTAGTCCTCAACTTACAACAGTTCCTTTAGTGTCCATTCAAAGTTACAGCATCACTAAAAAAAGTAACTTATGAACATTTTTCATACTTATGACCATTGCAGCATCCCCACCGTCATCAAAATTCAGCACTTGGCAACTGACTCATATTTATGACCTTTGCAGTGCCTTGACATCATGTGATCACCTTTTATGACCTTCTGACAAGCAATGTCAATAGGGAAGCCAGATTCACTTAATACCTGTACTACTGACTTAACAACTTGCACTGATTCACTAAACAATTGTGGCAAGAAAAAACTCACTTAACAAATGCCTCACTAACAACATGAATTTTGGGCTCAATTGTGGTTGTAAGTTGAGGACTACCTGTACATTTTACAGAAGAATTGGTCCTAAGTTCCAACTTGGCCCTACAATAAATTCTTCTTAAGCTCTGAAATTTTATAGCAGTCTTCAAATTATATTATATATGCACTATTTATAATTGAAAAACCTTCTTTAATTTACAGTAAAGTCATCAAATCCAGCTTGATGACTAGGTTTGGTTAAGGCACCAGACTATAAAGCAGGAGATAATGAGTTTCAGTCCTGCTTTAGACATGAAAGCTGGCTGGATGACTTGTCAATCACTTTCTTAGCCTAACGTACCTGAAAAGGTTGTTGTGGGAAAAATAGGAGGAGGAAGGTGTGTCAGATATGTTGGCCTCCTTGAGTTATTTGTAAAATAATAAAGGTGGGAAACAAATATATAAATAACAATAAAAATGCAATTATTCTCTCAACTCTTGGGGAAAGAAACTGGGATTTGAACTTGGTGAATCTGCCTGGAACACAAGAAAATTGGTAAATGATTGGCAATTATTTAGAAAGGACTAAAATATAGTTCATAGATAGTATGACATACTGTATCATTCAAATTCTATAATATTAACAAACATATATTAGATTGTAACTGGTAAAGAAATGGTGAGATATCGCAATTCGAATGCCGTGGATAAAAGCACCCAGTTCTCTAGGCAGCATTAAGAAAGTGATTTGTCACTGTCTTTTTCATCTATAAATACATATTTAAATTCTAATGTTGCCTACATCCCTAATGTTCCCTGATAGTTACTCATCTAAGTGCTAATAAGGCTCCTCCCTGTTTAACTTCTAAGAACAAGATTAACCAGGTGCTGCCACCTGCTGAAACTGGTACACATTATCACCTCTGCAATAACTTGTACATCTAGCTATTTTAATTTCCTCTAATCCAGGAGCGTCAAACCCAACTGCATCATGGGCTGTATCGTGATGTTTTTTTGTCTTTGTGGAGCCGGGGTGAGCATGGCCTGCATGGGCTGTATCTGGCCCATGGGCCACCAGTTTGACAGGCCTGCTCTAACCCCTTGCAGGATCTGTCCCTACTTGGGAATGGAGGTGGCGTAAGACTTGTCAGAGGCGATGTCCTTTCCTTATATTGCTACATTAAAGAAAGTCACTGAAACGCTGGCTGGTTCTGGAGTACTTTCATAGGCCAATAGAGATTAGATGTAGAAGGAAATGGAGAGATAAGCTTACCTCTGCATTGATCATTTGGGGGGACAATTTACAATAATTCAAGCTTACTTGATATTGTAATTTACCCACAGGCATTTTAATTCTTCTATTTGTTTCAAAGATTGACTTTGAATTGCAAAAGAGTTTTCTTTGTCTATTTTAGGCAAAAGGGTCAAGCTATTTTCTAACTGGTAGAATCAAAGGGGTCAAGCTATTTTCCAAAGCCCCTGAAAGCCAGACAAGGAATAATGGAGGGAAACTGATCAAGGAGAGATTCAATCTAGAAGTAAGGAGACGTTTTCTGACAATCAACCAATGGAACAGCTCTCCCTCCGAAGTTGTGGGAGCGTCATCACTTGAGACTTTCAAGAAGAGATTAGACTCCCATCTGTCAGAAATGGTGTAGGATCTCCTGCTTGGGCAAGGAGTTGGACTAGATGAGGTCCAAGGTCCCTTCCAACTCTGATTATCTGTTACCTCTTAAATTGTTATGGTAGAGCAGCTCATTTGTTTCATTATTACCATAAATATATCTGGCACTCACACAGATATGGAAAATATCTTAACTATACAATATTGAATAGGGCTGGAGGGGATCTTGGAGGTCTTCTAGTCCAATTTTAAAAGTGTTCTATTTTTCATCTCCAAGAATTTCTCTGCAGATTTCTAATACGGCTGGCTTTATCACCTGTTTTATGTATTAAATATGGATATTTGACTTTCAGTAATTTGCAAATGAATTTTTAAAATAACAAAATTGAAAGGCACTTTGGAGGTCTTCTAGAATCTAGATCAACACCCTGCTCAGGCAGGAAACCCTATATCATTTCAGACAAATGGTTGTTCAA